ATTTTTATCTGTATCACTGTTCAAGGTGCAAGACTGTACAAATATGGCCTGAATCTGCCAGTAAAATACTGCAAAATCTAATGGAAGAGGCAGGAATAAGAACAGAGAAAGCGAACATTATTGTTTCAGTTTTATGTTGAGAACAAGACAGAGAGAGACTAAGGGAGATGTGCCTGCATCTGGGAGTCTAGTGCCAGTTTGAAGGTCCCACTGTTGCCAAAAGAGATGGCAGATGGGACAGCCACAGTCCTCCGGAGGCTGTTGGACACCCGGCTGGGAGTACGACTAGCTGCCTGCGTTTAGGTAACTGGATGCCTGTGTTCAGCCCACTTGAGGCCACTTGCTCAGGGTTGTTCAAGGAGTGCATAGCAAAGCTGGGCTTGAACATAAATCCCATGAGCTCCAGTTGCCTTAATCACAAATTAATTTTTCCTGTTTTCAGCTTCTCTTTTTTTCTTTCTCCCAACCACCTACACTACTGCTGTTACGAAGCAGAATATCCTTCCGTGCTTTAAATTTTTCTTCTTTCTGTTTCGATCTTTGTTTTTGGCTCCCGTCCCCCTCTCTCGCTCAGCAGAAGGCTGAACACTACTTCGGTTGGAGGCTGTGTTATATAATGTTCTCCACCCCTTCTGCTCTTTTGTCGGCATCTCCTCACACCCCCAGCACGCTGAACAACTCTAATGCACTCTGAAACGTGGGGATCGATAGCTTTTGCAATTTTATTTTAGCTGGTGTGCCAGTAGCTGTCGGTAGACATGCAAACAGGTGATGTATTAAAAACCTCATGTCTATGAAATTCCCACTCGCAATCAGCTCTCCACGTTAATTACGTATGTGTAAAAGAAACATTCTTCTAATTCGTATTAGATATGTTCCGTTTTAAGAGTCATGTTATACATTTATTTTGGGCAGGATTAAGTAGAAAAGATTGACCTTCTTAATACACTCTATTATCCTCTGTAGTCACATCTTTCTTTCTTTTCCTGACATTAAGAAGTCATTCCATTTCTGTGTTGACATTTTTATCTTCTCCTTTTATCCTTTCCAAGAGCCGTGTTATTTATTGAATTTTTGCTGACGAACAAAAGGATGAGAAAGAAAAATGGCATAACCCCCTACATACAGCAAATGGCAAGGGTGTGCTGTATTCCTCTGATGCAGATGAGTAACTTTTTAGCATTAATTTCTCACTTCACTACTTTAGTTCCCCTGTCTTTTCCTTCTGGTTCTGCTTTAGTTCTCTTCTACCCGGTATTTTGGACTCATCTGTTTGTACTGACATTTCCTGTTTTTTCATTGTTTGTGATTGCCCCTTCTTTCCTTAGAATGAGTCTATTTGATTAATTCTGTCTCCAGTTCTGTTTAGTCTCTCTGGCAACCCCTTCAGGTATTACTTTGCTATGAAAAAATTGTATGTAGAAGAATTTCTTAACTCCACAGCGTCTGTAGTTCATGAAAATGTCACTGTCAACGTGGCATTTTTTGTTTTACATTACCACACCTGGACGAATCCATGTTACTTACCTACTTAACAACCACCTTGTGAACAAAAGTAATTTTAGGGTTGGAGCATCTTGTCCTAATGCCAAGCTGAATGGCCAGCGCTTAGCTAACACAGAGCCATCAGAACTAAGATTTTCATGAGAATGGGCACTAGTGGGTGATGAGAAAGGGTATAACGATACATACCTCTTATTCCACTACAGGAAGACAACCTCTGAATACGTGCTTTTTAAGAGCAATGCTGTAAACAGTGGTGGTATTCTTTGTCCTTAATGTATCTATCGCATGGCCTCCCTAACAGATGCAGACTGTAGGAGGACCAAAAGGGCTTTAACTGCACCTTGCCCCAATTAGTTTGAATGTCTCTCTCCTGCAATACGGGGCTGCTGCCTTTCTGCAGATAGCTTATTGCTTGAGCTGGTCTCCAGCCAGGCCGAAAGGTCGGACCAGGTGTTTGATGTATACTCAGCAAGCCTCTCCAGAGCGCTTGACAGCCGCGTGATCACGGGCCGAGGAGTGCTGTTTTGGTTCTGTGTGCTTCTTCGGTCTTCTAATAAAATGTCCACTCCAAGAAAGCCACTACTATCAAAACACGGCTGGTGAAGGCAGTGGCTGAGCTCATCCAGGTACATCCTCATCTTGAGACTACGTATGAAGCAGCCAATGAAGATGATGGGTGATTTCATCACACTTTGAATCTAAATGTGGCTAGGGAAGAGCATATGGCTGCACAATTGTTTTTTGAGGTTTTTTTTTCCTTTCTCTTTCTCTGCGCAGACAGTTGCTGTCGTTTTCATGAGATGAAATGCGCACTGGTGTTACACTTCATGCTGAAATTCACACATACTTTCCTTTACCAGCCCCAGCCAAACTTTAAAGAGTTTCTAACCACTGTGGGGCTTTTTTTTTAGAAGATATTTGATCATGATGCTTTTAGCAGATTTAATTTTGAAAATGAGGTGATGTAATGAATTTGGGGGGGGGGGGGAAGCCAGCCACAGGAGACTGGAAGGACTACTGTTTCACACCCAAAGAACAACTGTTGAATATTCGTTCTGTTGAGCTTTTACAAGAGCAATCTTTTGCAACGAAAAACCCAATAAAGATCTGTAAGCGTCCCTTAAAGGGTCAGGCCCTCCACCGGGGTGCCAGGGCTGAGGAGCCCCGTGAGCGCCGGGGTGCCGTGACCGGCAGCGTGATCAGGGTTTGTGCACGGGCGAGGGGAGGAAAACAACCTGCGACAGTTCATGGCTGGGGCCAGACCCAAGGCCAAGGGGGGAAAGGAGGACGGCGACGCTACCATGAAGGGAAGGAAGGACAGCGCGCGAAGCTAACCGTCCCCGTGGGGGCGGAGGGTGCCGCGGCAGCGGCGGCG